CATTAAGTCTGTTTGCTGTTTCGGTTGGAGTCAGTAAGGGTTCATCTGATTTTGTTAGTTTGATTGCTTTGTTTATGGATAACGTTTTAGTTCCAAGAATTTCAGATAGAGTTTTCCAGGTTTTTTTCATATCACCTTTGATGTTACGTAATCTATTTTCATAATACAATTTTTTTGACCTTCTTATCAGGCTGGTAAGTGCTGACAAGTAATTTCTCGACTGTTCTCTAATTATTTGACCCATTCTATACTGTTTTTCATATTTGTGCTTTGTGTTAATGGATTTGAGGATGCTTGGTGTTAGCCAGGGATTGTTAGGTAAGACACATATGCAACAGTTAGACAACTTTATTCCGAAATGTTTCGCCTACTGTGTAGGCGAAACGTTTCGGAATAAAGTTGTCTAACTGTTGCATATGTGTCTTACCTAACAACCTGTCGGTATTGTATACCATTTTGATGTTCAGCCAGGGATTATTCAATCTCTTTGCTGTGATCTGTTTAGTTTTTCTGGGGCAATGTCTGTTGTAGAGGCATTGGGCTTTTTTTAGAAAATTATTTATACATTCATTCATATCTGTATATGTTTCAAGCTCATTTTGCCAGTCGATGTTATTCATAGCTGCTATAAAGTTGTTAACTGCTGTCTCGTTATGTAGTCTGAAGGTTACTTTAGTAATGTCTTGTGGTAGTTTGCCCAGATTAGTTATGAGAAAGGTTGGGTAGTGGTCTGTAGTGTTGTCTGTGATTATGCCTGATTTTAAAGGGGATATGCTGTTTGTCCAGATCTGGTCTATTAAGGAGATGCTTGTCTCGGAGATTCTTGTAGGTTTAGATATTGCTGGTAGCAACAGTCAGTTGCTTTCTTATCTGACAGACATTTTCGGGTCTGTGTTGGCGCCTCGCTTTCCTCAGACTTTGTACAAGCAGAGGGAGTCCCACAAAGTTGTGTCCTTAGCACTATCCTTTTTCTCTTAGCTATAAATGACCTACCTTCCATTCTTCCATCGCATATTTGGTCATCACTTTAAGTGGATGACTTTGTTATAGCTTACTCAGGCGCTGACTGTCGCCTGGTAGCAGCCTCCCTTCAGGATGCGATTGACTGAGTTTCCCATTGGATCACTTTTTATGGCTTTAAATTTTCTATTGTGAAAACCCGTTTCATTACCTTCACTAGGTGTCTTCTTATCCCAGATATTCCATTATATTTACACGGCTCACGTGTTTCAGAATGCGATACGGTCAAGTTTCTTGGCCTTCTCTTCGATTGCTGGTTGACATGGAAACCTCGCATTTCTTCTTTGAAGGCAACTTGCCATGGTTGCCTGAATGTTCTTAAAATTCTCGTGCATCATTCATGGGGAGCAGATCGCTGAAGTCCCTCTGTTTGCATTCCAGCCTAGTCTTGTCCAAGCTGGATTATGGCGACCAAGTCTATTCTGCGGCTTCTCCTACAACTCTTTCTAAGTTAGATCCCCTTCATTATCAAGGTCTCTGTTTATGCCTTGGTGCCTTTTGTTTATTCCTCTATGCAGAGGTGAATGTTCCTTCCTTAGCTGATCGTCGTGGTGCTCATTGTCTTTGTTACTTTGTGCTCATGACCTTCGTGTTTCTTCTACCTATATGTTGGTCTCAGACATTGGTAGAAGCCCATTGTTTGTTTGGCGCCCCTGCCTACTCCAACCATTTTCTCTTCGTCTTTACTTCGGTCTTCTCTCCAATTGCCTTCTTTGTATGTTCATTTAGTGTCTGCCTTTTTCCATCCTCCATGGTAGGTTCCAACAGTTCATGTCTGTTCTCTCCCACTACCTTGCACCAAAGCAGCCTACGGCTGCTTCTCGCTATCTTTTTCTCGATTACTTCTGGTCACATGCTCATGCTATCACTGTTGATACAGATGGTTCTAAATCTTCTGATGGTGTTGGGTTTGCAGCAGTATTCCCTAACGATATTGTCTGAGGTCATTTGTTAGACTTGGCTAGTATTTTTACTGCCGAGTTGTATGCCGTCCTCATAGCGCTTTTCATATTACATGTCTCCTACATTTGTGATCATTTCAGATTCCCTCAGTGCATTACAAGCCATTAAACAATTTGATTTCCCTCATCCATTAGTCTTTCTTATTCAACTATGGTTGCACCTTGTGGCTAGCAAAATCAAAGACGTCGTTTTCTGTTGGGTCCCTGGACACGTTGATCAGCAGGGCATGAACAAATGGGTACTGCTGTGCAGTCAGTGGTGCATGATCTTCTGGTGTCTTGTTCAGAGATTATTTTACAGTCATCTCAGTCTGTCTTCGCAGCCATTGGCAACAATAGTGGTCGGGAATGCACCATAACAAATTGCACTCTATTAAACCGCTTTTAGGTTCGTGGCCATCTTCTTACCACCGTTGCCGTTCCTGGGAGATTGCACTTTCCCAGCTCCACATTGGCCATACGTATCTTACCCATGGGTATCTCATGGATCAACGCCCTATTACTCTGTGAGATTTGTTGGGTCCCTATCTTGGTTCTTCACTTTCATGTCAATTGCTTGGTTTACCAGCGAGCTCGCAGGTTTTACCTCCAGTGCTGCCGCCGCCCTACCATTCTTTCTTTGTCTTTCCTTCTTGCAGATGGCTGTGCCTTTGCCTTACAATCACTTTTTGGCTTTTTATCAACAGCTGCTTTACTGTACGAACTCTGACACATAGCCCTTAGTGTCCCTTCCAGCCCTTTTCTTTCCTCACCTCTGATCCCCTCTCCCCCTAGATGTTTATAGCCTCAGCACTCTTTTCTGCCCTGCAGCGCTATGTGACCCTTGTCGGTTTAGCACTTTCTTTGATTATAATAATAATAACTCTTGACAGTGGAAGCATGATAAAAAAGTAGTGTATGTACATGCCACTGTGCATAGGCTTGTGATACACAGAAAAAGCAAAACCTGTGTACGAGTGGTGGACATAATGCCATCCTTTCCCATTACATTGTAAAATGCTCCAAACTTCAGAACACCCATAACTAACCTGATTCTTTTTTCTTCTCCTCCCTTTTCCCATTTCCTCTTTCTCCTTTGGGTTTTCTTTCTTCTGGCTTGGTTCTTTATTTATTTCCCCCTCTATGTTTTTGTGGGCCCCTACCTCACTGCTGCTTGCTTTCTTGCATGCTCCTTCCTTTCCTACTTGTCACATCCCTGTCTGCTGGCATACATACTGCCTTCTCTCCTTTCTGTTAGTGTGACTTTGTAAATGTCAGACCGAAACATCGTTGTAATCTCCCCTCTCTTATGTGTGGGTTATTTGTGTATTACTTTTCAACATTGTCACTGCACTAACACCCTTACTTTATCTTCCCTCCTCGAGGACGGCCCCACCTTTGACACAGACTCCAGCTTTGACTTTTTGACAGCAACAGATTCATTACACGTCCTTTGATTGTACTTCCTTTAGTACTCCTCACGGCCCTTACTCTACCTCTGTTATATTCTCTTCCTTTGCTAGTCTCAGATCAAGCATATTACACAGTTAGTACACCCTACCCAGCAGTGCTGCATAACCCTTGTGGGTTTAGTGTTTAGTTTTGATTATATTAATAATCAGTAGTTATTGAATGAAAAATGAATATCACTGGTCAGTAAAATTGGCTAATTAGTACTTATGGCAGCCAGTAGGAGCATGAACCTTATGTCCAGGGAACCACAACACTGGTGAAAATTTGAAGCTGATCAGACGAGTTTATTCCTCAGTTATGGCAGTGATTCCAAGTTTTTTTTTACAGTTTACATAAACAAATTTGCGTGCTAAGATGTGTCACCCATTAAAAATTGAAGCTGTTCAGAAGAGCTAAACTGAAATTTATTTAATATGATTTAATGGAAATAAAAAATTCCAACTATTTTACACACACAGTGATCAGATCTGCAGCTCCCACACTGCTGAATTTCTCTCCGTACCATCGTCACATTTTTTAGCACCTTTTTTTTTGAATATTTGAAGCTATGCCACTGAGGATTTTGGAAGTTATCTGAGGCATTCTAGGATGCTGGGACTGGTTTCAATAACTTTGGTCATAGGTCATGTGAACATGCCAGTACTTGCAAGAAATTGGGCCTTGTTGCTGTAAACAAGTGGTGAAAATTTGAAGCTGATTGGACGAGATATTCTTTAGGCAGTACCTGACCAGCCAGGCTGTGGTTTGTATGTTGAAGTGCCTGTGGCCGGCAGTAACAGCCTAGTTAATCGGGCCCAGATCCACCATGAAGCCTGGTCACGGACTGGGCCATGGAGGTGTTGACCCCTGGAACAACCATCAGGTAGACACAAATGTAAAAGATTTACTCTATTTCTCAGACAATAAACTATAGGAATGATTGGTTATGGTTTATTGTGTCCCAGTAATTGAATTAGACCTATTAAAATCCCATAAAACAGGCTGGGGGTTGTAGGGGAGGGGGCCTTGCCTGTTCTCAGGAAAATGGGCAGAATTCTAATACATATTTCCATTACTTTGAGCTCAATTTCAAGCTACTTCTGGTCCTGGAACCAACCAAAATAATCTCTATTGCAGCAGTATGTCTTCCATTCTGTCAAATGATACCAAGAAACAGTAAATAAAACAAAAACTGTCCTAAAAACACTTCAAAAGTCAGTATTTTAAACCAAACACATGGTCAGAGTTTTACTTTTTCCCATCATGCCCAATGTGGAGCAAGATTTGTTTTATACTGTGTACACTCATTGCACAGACAGACCTATTGGTCATATCTGAGTAAGCCAAACTCATGATATAGACTACCTGAGGGATCTGGACTCAGTGATGTAGTTCTGTGTGATGGTAACTGAAAGAGTTGAAGGTACTCCTTCAGGGTTACCTGAGTACTGTAGTAATTTGTTCTCAAACATCTTGGGATTAAAATAAATTTTTGTAAAATGAATGTAATGCCAGGGCTCTGTACTGTGAATTACTAATTCTCTAAAATAACAAATATTTGTGTTGTGTATACATGTATAGTTAATATTTATTCAGTGAATAAGTGTTTTACTTTTCAGGTTCTTGTTCATGAATTGACGGAGAAGTGCTGGGACAAGTGTATGGACCGTCCATCAACACGTCTTGAGTCCCGCACAGAGAGCTGCACCACTAACTGTGTTGAACGTTTCATTGATGCCAATAACTTTGTTGCCAACCGCTTGCAAAAAGTGGCGACTACCTCAGGACTTATGTAAAGCAATAATAATTAAAAAGAAAAAGAAATTAGGTCTAGAGAGTTCATACTCGCAAAAATAATACATAGTTCTCTTGTAATTAAAACATTTTATTGTGTATTAATGTATAGATTTGCTTTTCTTTCTTAAATGTATTTGCTTTCTTATTTTTAATTGGCATATCTTGTATTCAACAAAATGTTGAGAGTGAAGGATTTTTTATATAGACACAGGAGGAAATTTCTGATTGGAGGTGCAGTTATAGGTGGTGTTGCTCTCCTCAGTCGTTATGCAGAACGTAAGCTTATTGAATGGCACGATCAACAGACACGAATCTTACTGGACAAACAGAAAAAGCGACAACATTATGAAAACACACACAGAACAGCAAATGCTACAGTTATGAGCTTGTCAGTCAGTATGAAAGAAGTAATTTCCAAAGAGCTAGATGCAGATGCACTTCTTCAAGCAGTGAGGGAACAGCCTCAACACAAACATAATATTTGGCAGCAACTCAAGATTGTGGGATTCAGTCGTGCTGTTTCAACTGTTTATGTTGCAAGTTTGGTGACCTCAGCTGTGCATATACAACTCATGCTACTTGGAGGATACACATTTGGGGACCTCGTACATTCTGGTCATGCAGGCATACCAATATCTCAAGCACTACAGCAAAAATATCTTGCAATTCTTCACTACCTTGTTGAGGAGGGAGTTCCCAAACTTTTGCAGCATGTGACACAAGCTGTCACCCATATAATCTCTGGATTGCCTCTTAATCGACCTCTTACTTTATGCCAGTTAGAAGGAATCTTCCAGGAAATTAAACTTGACCTAGCTGGAGAAGCTGTCTGTGAAGGCGCCTTCAGGAGAGAAGACTGGCTAAGCTTGAGCCATGGAGCAGATATGTACTTCTTGCTCCTGTACCACCTGAAGGTGGAACAGGTGATGATAGGATACTCTACAATATGTTAATTGAAACAAATGATATTCTTGATTGTGAAGATTTTAGTACTGTAATGGACACTTTAATTCAACATGGTTTTAATCATTTGTTGGACAGAATTGCTGAATTTTATCCACTCCCAAAAATCAACTTGGGGCCAGTGGATCTAATGAGAATTGGGTGGATAATGTTAGTCG